GCAAAACATTTAGTGCTGCTTGCTGTATTATCCATCGAATATGTCGTGCCAATCGATAGCATTGGAACTGGACTTTGTGCAGAGAAGATGATTATGCATATTCCAGATGAAATTCAACTATATTAAATTATGTTTCGAACTTGGTGAAATCATTCCTTTCTCATAGATGCGTAGTGTACATAGAGAAAACGAATTTTTCATATTGTAATTTTCAAGTTCAAATCAGACGTTTCTATAGGATGAATCCGCCATAAACAAACGAATCTTTTTTTGTTGACGCGAAATTTTTTCATTTCACTCCCTTTTGTGTATTATTATCCATTTTTTTATTGTCTATCTGTTGGATGAAACATGAATCGATATAGACAATTTAATGTTGAAATTAATATGTATGAATCATCTGAAAACAATATTGACTAACGCTCTTTCGTATGCTAAGTCCACATTTCCGCTGAGTTGTGCAATGCGTGACATTGTTATAAGAGAAATAGAGAGAAATGTGATGAAAAACTTTCTCCTTATCTAGACAAGAAGATTGTTATATAATTCAACAGAACGCAACAGATTTCTTTTCGACAAAACACTATTAGTAATATCTGTCACTGTGTTGTCTCTCTACCTGGTTTTATTCGCTTCGTTTTTCTTTTTCAGTGGATATGACTCATTGTGTATTGCGTCATTGTACATGCAAAATTAGTAATCGTATTTTTTCTCTCACTTCATTCTCTGTATGAGATGTCGTTCCTCTCATAGTAAATGTGCTTTTTCATGACGTTCTGGCATGAGTCTGTTGATTGACTATCATCGCGTCGACGGAGACTCTGCACGCTTTTATTTCGAACACATTTTTGTTAGTTAATGGTAGATTAAGTAACTTGCTGCTTTTAACAATTAACGCGAGAGATATGATGAACGTATTAAAGGATTAGATTCGACGTGCTTGATACATACAGAAAAATTAACAACACGTGGGATTTTTTTGTTGTTTTGTTATCAACATGAAGTAAGATATTTTATTGGTCGCTTTTTCTTCAAATATATATGTTAGCGTCCAATCTCGGATTCAGTTCAATCTTGGATTGGCCTAGGCGAATCGTGAATGGTTACATTGGACTAGTCCAATATCAGATTGATGCAATTCGGTTCACTAAAATATCAGTTACTCTTGAGATAGATGTTGGATTCGAATTACTTTTTGAAATTATGTTCACATAATGTGTATTTGTTTGTCACAATCGTCGTTGGACAGATTTAAGCTAAAGTTTAGGAGTTATGAATAAATTTCTACAGAACAACAACTTTTATGAAAAGTTGTTATTAAGTTCTTCAGTCTAAATTTGACTTCTGCCTGAACGCCTACAATACTTAAAACGGCATTGTGCGAACATAATTTCAAAAAATAATTCGAATCCAACATCTATCTCAAGAGTTACTGACATTTTAGTGAACCGAATTGCATCAATCCGATATTGGACTAGTCCAATGTAAGCATCCACGATTCGCCTAGGCCAATCCGAGATTGGACTGAATCTAAGATTGGACGCTAACATATATATTTGTCTGCGTTTCGTTTCTTTTTTGTGTGCATTATTGTCGCTAGTTTTACGTGAATAAATTGTGAACAAGAAATGAATTCGATTGGTGGTTATCAGTTGAATATGTTCTCTCATTAACTATTCGAATAGCTAAACAATTTTTAAGTTGACTGATAGTACAAATCGCAGTTTGCCGATTTATTACTTTTCAGTCGACAGGTTATCATCGCTTTCTTCTCAACGCCTGACTCACGATTTCAGTTAACTAACCGTTCATCTAACCTGAATGTTTGATCGTCTCTGAGAAAAGCTTGTTGAAACTGAAAATGTGACCAGTACATATCTAAAATCCATTTTCGAAATGTAGAAATCAATAATGAATAGCCGGAGGTTTCCATATATGACGACAAAAAAAACCCACGTTTGTCTATAGATATTTTTTTCTTTCAAACAATGGTTTAAAATTCGAGTACCATATCCATAATTGAACTCGCGACTCTCCCAGACTGTGTGAACAGTTAATGATTGCTTTGATAGTATTTCAAACGTTTTCATCTATTGATTATTTTTGTAGTATTCTATCGTCGTTAAAAAAAGATGAGTAGTGGTCAAAGTGATTATATTCAGGTAATATGTTTTATCTATCATTATAATTGCTTGTTCAATATACTCTCAATTTTTTTTTTAATAGAAAGGTATTCAAAATGCTGAACAAGCAACAGCAGAAGATAAAGCACACAATTATGAAGCTGCTGTAAAACATTATATGACAGCAGCTCATTGGCTCATGCTAGCAATAAAATGTAAATGAACGGAATAGATTGTTTTTCCAAATTATATTCAACAAATGTTTGTTCTTTAGATGGAAGAATGACTGCACAATTAAAACAAACAATAAGACCTAAAATAGAGAGTTATATAAAACGAGCAGAAGAAATTGATTTGATTCTGAATAAAAAGCCAGTTGCCGGTGGTTGCAATGATCATGGAAATGCAAAGAATAATAAAAACAACAGTGATAGTAGTGATTCAGATTATAAACAACTTAAACAAAAATTTGAAGGTTCACTCACATTACTATTTCTCTTACAAAAATATTATTTTTTTTTTTTTGTATTGAAATTTAGGCGCTATTGTTTCAGATCCAAAAGTAACATTTAACGATGTCATTGGTTTAGAACAAGCAAAAGAGGCACTAAAAGAAGCCGTTATTTGGCCTGTTAAATTGAAAAAGTTTTTCAGAGGTATGCAAGTGTATAAATCGAAAGATCTATTTAATGATGTATACTCTTTTATATTAGGTAAACGTAAACCATGGGCTGGTATTTTACTTTATGGAGTGAGTATATCATTTGTTGATTGATTGCATCGTCTCTCTCTCTCTATATATATCTAATTGTAGCCACCAGGTACGGGTAAATCCTATTTGGCTAAAGCCATTGCTACAGAATGTAAAAGTACATTTATATCTGTGAGCTCATCGGATCTTCTTTCAAAATGGGTTGGTGAAAGTGAAAAAGGTGTGAAATGTTTATTTGAACTGGCTCGTGAACGACAACCATGCATTGTATTCATTGATGAAATTGATGCACTCTGTAGTCAACGTAATGATACGGAATCGGAATCTTCAAGACGTGTGAAAACTGAATTTCTTGTTCAAACAGAAGGTAGCTTCACTCTAATTCCAATACGAAGAATTCAGTAAATTTCATTGGATAATTATTTAGGGGTTGGAGCAGACAATTCAGGTGTTCTTCTTCTTGCGGCAACTAACATTCCTTGGGCATTGGATATAGCCATGCGACGACGGTACGATTCTTTTCTGTACTTTTCTTAAATATGATTTGGTGAGAATTTTCCAGCTTTGAAAAGCGTATCTATATACCACTACCTGATGTGAAAGAGCGCGCGGCCATGTTCAAAGCTCACTTGGGTACAGACATACCATATGAAATCCAAGATCACGAATGGATGGAATTAGGTCAAAAAGCTAATCAGTAAGTTTTTAGTTTCGGTATTGATTGTGATATTTCAATATCGAATTACAGTTACTCTGGTGCTGATATTGCTGTCGTTTGTCGAGAAGCTTTACTCAGGCCTCTTCGACGACTTTGTTCATCAACTCATTTCAAACGAGTAAACATTTGTCTATCCTCTATATCATTATCTTTCTAACTGTTACTTAGGTGAAAAATCCCAATTCTGATGGACCTTCTGAACTCTGGCTTCTTTGTTCACCTAACGATCCTGATGCGAAAGAAATTTCATTTGATGAACTTGATTGTGATGACTTATTTGAGCCTCCAGTGAACATGGTAAGAATTATACAAAATCAAGCGACAGAAAAAAACTTATTAATATTTTTATTTTAGTCTGATATGTTAGCTGCCTTGGCCAGACAGAAACCAACAGTAGGCGATAACGATTTAATTGAGTACGAAAAGTTCACTGAAATATCTGGCCAGGAAGGTTACTAAATTTTTGTCTTGTTCTTCCTTTATGTAGACAAAATGGTTATCTTCCTCTTTTTTTCTCGCTCTCCCTCTATTCGATCATTTCTTGTGATTGTGTAATGCGAAATAAAAAAAAATTGATGTCTTCAAAGAAATATATTAATAAACGATGATAAACTTGCCTAGTTGTTTCATTTTCAGAAAGATAAGGTCAGGCTCACAAAAAGATGAGTCTGTTCAACCAACTAGAAAACAGCATTCATCATTGCTTACAAAATCTCGTCAAACTAACGAATCATGAGTCCCAACAATATAACTATAGGTAATATGTAGCAAGTAGTTCGAATCTATTCTCTATTTCTATTATAAACTTTTCTTAGGTTTCATGTGGAGCATAAGAGTATCGGGGCGTACTGGACAAGTACGATGCCGGCTAGAGATTTTGTAATAGAGGAGTCAATAGTTGCTATTAGATGTCATCTTCTCGATGGTTCATCTCTAATCGGCAAGTTTTTGATGATTGTTTTTTTTTACGAGACGATTTCATTGATAAAAACATCATCGGCAATACTTTTCGAAACATAGCCTAAAGATCGATTATGGGGAAGGGATTGATGCATTTGAAACATTAGTTGTCGAAATTTTTATTAGTTATCCAAGTTTGAGAGACAAAGGTTCTCAAACCATGGATTATTAGCGCCTGATCTTGAACTTCATTCAGTAATCCACTCGTGTACTTTTAATTCAATGAAATAGCATCGGCAATTAAACCTACTTATTTGTCAATTAAATGCTGCTCTTTATTAATAACGTCCAAGATTTTAATGGAGGTTAATCTCTAAAAAACCATATTGGATATTTTCAATCGTCATCCAATTCTTGTTTGTCTTTCTACCTGACAGTCGACTGAGGTTCGAAAATTGGGTGTGAGTGTGAGTATAAGTATTCTTTTAGTTCTTTTCCACCCACATCTACACCCACTACAGTCATTCTAAGTTTCTCTATATCACGACTAACTGAAACTTGAATCAATATTGAATCGTTGTATTCGATGGTTGCCATAATCAACAACATAGAGTTTGTATTGTCGATCAAATGATAAATCTTGAGGATAAGAGAGTTGGTTCGATTGCTTTCCTTCATTATTTCCACCAACAACTATAATACCTTGTTTAGTCTCTTTTGACCAGCACATTACTCGATTGTTGTCACAATCTGCCACATAGACAGTACCTAACTGATCAGCAATTACTCCACGTGGACAAGACAATTGAGCTAGACCATTTCCTTGACCTTGACCACCAGCAACGATAATTCCTTCTGTTGCACCTTTTGTCCACTTCATCACACAATGATTCTTCTCATCTGATATGTACACTGAATAATCTTTATCGACAAAGATATAACAAGGACTATTGAGTTGATCGAGACCATTACCTTGTCCATGACCACCTGCTACTACTGTTCCATAACTATCTCCTATTCTCCATCGTCTAACTTCATACTTTTTGGAGTCAGGAACAGGGTTGCCAGATCGAAAACTCAAAAATCAGAATTTTTTTTTTTGGAAAATCAGAAATTAATCAGAAAAGTCAGTTTTTGAAAAACCTAGTGGTTATTATGGTATCATGTTGGTACAAGACACTCTATTGAATCGCTGTTCATTAATTCATACTTTATTTTCAAAGATATTTCGCTATAAAAAAGCATAATACAATGAATATACTGTTTAGCTAACAAGGAAAAACTAATGAAGACACGTAGTGCCGAACTCTTTCGCTAAACTCAAAATTCGTTCACAAAAAAAGTACAAAAATAAATCACATATATACGGTATAAGTTATAAGATCCTATGAAAGAAAAAACTGATGATTATGTAACATAGATTCGATATTATTGTTCATATTTTCCATTTTTTCGAAATTTCTTTAACAAATGTGTTTGAGTTAAAAGATATTTATAAAATTGTTCACACGAATAATTATGATAAGATTTAATTTCGCTAAAAAAGCTGTGATATGATTTAGAAAAGTTCAGAATTCAGGAGAAAAGCAGAAAAAATGATCAAAAACAGAAAAAAATCAGACTGTCAGAAGGAAATCAGAAAGGCATCCAAATTTCAGATACTAACCTGACTTTTCAGATAATCTGGCAACCCTGACACCCACACCCGCGAATGCATATAAGATGCTCGAAAAGTCTTTCATCAGAAAGAAACCTTCATATCTGTATGATGATATTAAAGGATAAACTAATTTGTCAATTTACAACACAATAATCTTTCAAGTTTTTATTCCTAATTACAAAACTGACAAATAAGCACGTAGAGTAGTATTCTTAAAGTTCTTTACTTCAGATTGTAAAAAGGAGTATGTCAGATTTTCTTCTGCTCCTTGAATTTCATTTGATTAGAATGAGCATCAAATAATTCATGCTCATTTCTTCTTGTAAATATTGATTCAAAACGTTTGAAAAACCAAATATAAGTGATATATTTCTTCAAAACAATTAGTTTTTTCTTTATAAAAAACTTTCATGGAGAGAAAACAATGTTAAAAGATTGGAATTCGAATCTACATGGACACTATGCTTGAAATCAATGCTTTTTGTCCCTTACGAATATGTGACATATGCTCATAAAACAAGAAAGTAGGCATGAATCACTAGAAGATCAAAGTCATCAAATAAATTTTACAAAATCAAGAAAAGTCCCATCAATACTATTTGTTCGATTATTTGCTTCATTCTAGTAGTATTTGGGAATTCCATATTTATTAACTAAAACTTGAAAGTGCTCTCCATTATGAATAGAAACATTATTCATGCAATCGAATCATAATAGAAACATATAATTGGCATTGGTATCAATGAATTTTTGAACAGATTGATTTGGAATTGGTGATTTCTTGCCGATTCCAATTGCAATCATCCTAACCCACGCCCCAGTCAAACCCAATTACCCCTACAAATAATCTTAATGTAAAATAATAAGTAACATTTTGATCCACTTTATTGTAACACCTGAAAAATACTTCTATTATTTGATGAATGATGAGCGATGTAAAAAATGAGTGATAGCCAGTAGTGATTTTGCCGAACACTTCTTCTAGAAAAGTAACAATATCGGTTGAATGAACTAAAAAATTTGTATGTTGATTATAAATATTTTGGATAAGACTTTTATTCATATTTGTTTTTGAGGCAGAGTCAACGTCAAAAGAAATGAATTTTCCCATTATTAAAGTTAGATTGACACTAGATCCAATACTTTTTACTCACTATTAGAATAGACTTACAATATTCGAGTTTTAGATAAAAATAGATCTTTCGATAGATATAGGTCAATATTGTGTCTTATGAGATTGATGACATAATCTTCAGTTATACTACACCCATGTTTTGTTCTATTTTCATAAGCCATTGTTAATAAGATATATGAAAAAAAGTCATAATTACGCATTTCTACTAATAGATGAAGTCACAAGTTTACCGCATGAAAAAATAAAATAAAAGGCCCATTAGTTCATTTCATCGTAAAAACAACAAGTGATCATACTTCACTTGATTCAATTAGTTAAAACAGGAAACATAATGAAAATATTCAAGCTGTCAATGAGGTGATTCAGTACCGTATATTTCTATTAATTAATTTTCACTTGGAATATTTTTTTTAATGTTTGATAGAAAAAATTTATACGTTTTATTCATTGTTTTGTACACTTGTCAACAGTTCTAAGTTGCATGAACTCTGGAAAAGCTTGAAAATATTGAATTTTTAGATAATAGGTTTATTAATCACAAGTCATGTTTTTTTCTGTTAAATTTTTCATCAGAAAAAGAAAAAGAAAAAGAGAAATATTTAATCCTTATATTGTTTAGAAACAAAAGTTATCGACGATTTGTATTGGTCGCTGTCTGTTCTACAGTTCGGGTAATATTAGCAATTCCAATAATATTCCGACCACGTATTCCAATAGTATTTATTATTTTCTGGATTAAATCGGGAAATGTACTAAGACATATAATTGGTAAAAAAAGTGGAATCAAATAGATGGAAAACGAAATTATATCCATTTGATCAGCCATAAATGAAGGTATCACAGTTATTTGTATGAGTGATACTATCGTTATAGGTAGCCAACATGCCATATAAAGTGATGAAATGATCCATAACTGAATCACCATTTTGCGATGATTTCACCATCGTATTATTTGATTGTGAGACATTTTTTGATAGATCACTCGACTTAACAATGATAGATTTGCAAGCGCAATGACGAATACAGGAAGAGCGACGTTGAAAATAAAATCGAACTGACCAAGAAAGTTTGTCGTAAAATAACAGGGAGAACCACAACTAATATAATTAAAATCCCATAAAGTGTTACAATATGGACTGATGACAATTAAGACAAAATAAAGTGTTGGTGTATAAATCAAACAAAGAATAAGTGGTATAAAATGAAACATCCATTTTTTCCATGGCTTTTGAAGTATGGTGTTTGGTTGAAAAATAATCACATGTCTTTCAATAGAAATCCATGTCATTAGAAACAATCCAATAGCATTTACAGAAAATTCACACCATGTCCACCATATACAATATTGATAGAATGCAGGCCAAACTGTTTCCAGATAATAATAACTCATTGGCATTGGTAAATCAATTAGGAGCTGGAACAAATTGACGATGATTAAGATAAGCCATCCATGATTTTTAATTTTTGAACGATTTGCACGATTCAGAGCAATATGAATAAAGATCACAATAGCAACAGTAATAGCTGGAATTTCGAAAATAAGCATCAAAATAAATTTAATCCTGTTATTCATGATTCACATATAATATAGTGAATAATCAAACGTATTATAAATATTGTTGAATTTTAAAAAAAAAGTAACAGAAAATAAGTCAGAGAAGATAAAATGATGTCAATGACATTGAAATATATGTTTTACACATTTGTCGGATCTTTTCAATGTAAGTGAATATAATCATTAATAATTACTTGTGAAACAATTGTTTCCTCAAGTCTTGCTTTTTTAGGAATCTCAAATATTAATATCTAGAACTTTTCTCTTGCTTTAGAAAATAATTTCTTTTATCTTGAAGAAAGCTAATTTTCAAAGCTATAGAGTTTTTCTATAGAGAGGCTTAATGAAGATAACCAGCAGAGATCTCTATGAAAATTATATAGCTATAGAAAATGTTACTATACATCTTGAGGTACGACAAGATTAGTCTGATATGCACACAGAAAATAATACCTAACCAAAGTTCTTTTATATTTAACTTGAGTATAAGATCAGTCTTCCAAATGGCATATTATTAAATCATATCTTGTCTTCTAGTAATAAAACTATATGCATAAAAAGCATGAGTAAAAGTTCTACACTGTTGGTCAATGTCGTTCTTTAAAAACTTTTCAAATATAATGTCGAAGTATGTTACATAAACAAAACAGGAATGTACAACAAAGTCATAATTATTCATTTATTCGAGTTGAATCATTCTCTACTGAATTCATATTCAACTAAAATTTGTATTCATTAACAGGACTCGAATAGATTACATAAAAAAAAAAAAAGTTAAACTCTAGGTAAAATTCGTTATAGATAAGAGTGAAAAGACGAATGTGTTAATTAATTCTTTTCTCAAAAAACAGAATATAACTATTTGTTCAAATAAAATTTCAGAAAAAGGATCACATTCATTTTTACATATATAATTACATTATAAGAACATCAATAATTTCTTTTTCAATATCACAAGTTGAATCTCGAACACTGTTATAGCACATTGGTTAGATGTGCTATAAGAAACATGTTATGTGTTATCCATATATGTTCGGTCGTTCTTTGCTTTAATGAAATAACTCTTGTTCGTTTTCTTTCGTGTCTTTGTTTATCCTTTTTTTTCTCTTTCTTGTAAAAGTCATGAAAATGTGGTTTTGACCTTGAGCTAAAAATTATTGAGTAGTTAGTAATGCGTAACAACATTATATATATATATACATACATGTGGAGATAATTGGATGTGTGTAAGAAAGAGAGAGAATTAAAAAAGTGTTGTTATTAATTGAATAGAGATAACTGATAAAAACACTAAGTTAACATCTTATAAAAATCCATATACACGTCAACGTGAATTTGGGTTATAACAAACACATTTATACGAACAAAGTGAACATGTCAAATCAATAAATGAAAAAATTCAAGCAAAATCAGTGATTACGGGTACCGTAAATGAAGAGATTTTTCATCACATGATGAACAAATATTTACTACATTTTGATTCATATTTTATACGTTGGCATTGGACATATTTTATGATACAGAAAAATACTACCTTGAAAATTTTATTTTGCAATACAGAATATGACACGCTATGTATCTTTATACTTAGGGCATAAGAAAAGTAGTGGCAGTGGTACTTTAATTCCTTATAGAACGCTTAAAGAAACTTTTTTTCTATATATTCTGATAGAGAAAAGAATGCTCTATTTTTTTATGATATTTGATCATACTTCAACTAATATCAAAATAATAAATATTCGATAAGATCTGTTTCATTTGCACACGTGCTGGTTGTATTAATACTAATTGTAAAAAAATACGAGTATTTTTTGAATAACTTTCGTTAGAAACAAGATAGAGACTTGTTGTTTTCACTACTGGAAAGAGCAGATGAAGGCGCATCGAATAGTATATTATAAGTTTTTATAATATGATTTCTTAAGTTTTTCTTATTCAATTTTCTAACTGTTGCAAAAGTAGATTTTTTTTATGAAAAAACGTAAAAGCAAAAAATAGTGATGGTTTTCATAGATTTCGCTAGAAAATCGTATTAGAGACTCGACTGAAACTGATATTATTCATCTTAGCCTTTCGCATTTTAAGATCTTCGATTAATGGTTTGAATTTATACTTGATAATTCAAAATTCACAATAAATAACTTACCAGATTTGTTTGTTGTTTAAAAAGTTAATGGAAAATCTTAGAAAAGACAGATGAGGAAACCCTGGAATATACGATTCGATGCATCTTCATCTTCTCTTTTCAACGAAGAAAACCGCAATTCTCTATTTTGTTTCTGACAAAAGTTATTCAAAAATATACTGACTCGTATTTTTTACAATTAGTATTAATACAACCAGCACGTATGCAAACGAAACAGATCCTATCGAATATTTATTATTATTAGACTAGTTGAAGTATGATTAATAGCATAAAAAAAATAGAGTATTCTTTTCTCTATCAGACTATATAGAAACAATGTTTATTTAGGCTTTCTATAAGGAATTAAAGTACCACTACCACTACTTTTGGCGTGCCCTAAGTAGTTTATTGATGAACTATAGTTAGTATAATCGATATAATTTAGAAATTATTATAAAATCTTGTTTTTCACATGAAAATTAATATTAGGAACATTTTTGTTTCTAAATATTTAAATATCTGCTTTTTAAATTAAAATTAAAAACATAGAAATAAACATCGTCTTATATTTAAAGTATTTGAACATAGAAGTGAAAGAAGATTGAAACAAAAATATAGTTTCACGTGTTCACTCTCTTCATTTGTTGATCAGATAAGTGTTCTCTGTAAGTGTAACTAGTATAAGTTTTGTTTTTTCGATAAATCAATTCAGTTTGAGATACATACATTATGTTATTTATGAACAGGAGAATTCTATTAATTCATAATATCTCCTTAAATCATACTATACTAATTGATTATTCAATCATCTATGTGATTCATTATATTCTTTCAGCTGTCACATATAAATAATTTGTTTCACGAGGTTAGTATTCATTACTGTACGTATTGTTAGTAATTATTTTTCATATTTTTGTTTATTAGTCTATTAAACTTCAAAGGTAGGAATATATTTTATTTGTTCTGAACAATATGCTTGGAGCATATGTATATTTTGATTATGTCTCAATAAATTTTATTTTTATTTATAACATAAAAAAAAATATCAATGAACTTCCTCTTAGTTCTTATAAAATATTTTACTAAAGACAAAAACCAAATTTTCCGAACACAATACAAATTAACCAAAAATTCCAAGCTGACATTATACTGAAAAAAGAAACATTAAAAAGAAAAGCTGTTACGAAAAAAAACGAACAGAAGAGTTTGGGCTAACAGATTTATATTATTCATTTGAATTAAATGAGAATTGATTTTAAAAAAAGAGTGTTTTAATCTGTCATATAAAATTCATCGTTTGACATTTTACTCTGACACATTTTCAACATCTATTTGAATGATATCATTTAGCCTTTAATAAATTAATTAAAATGATTTTTCTTTTCTTATTGTAAACATTAATTTCTTAATCGAAAAGAATTTTTTTTATATAAAAATAAAAGAAAAAGAAAAAAGAATTGTTCGCATTATTGAATCTTCTGTAAGACATTTATTTTAGTTTTAATTATTCATTCATTATTCAACTGACATTTCTTCTTCAAAGAAAACTCAAAATGAAACAAAAACTGAGTAGTTCACTGGATTTATTATTTCGTTAATTTGAGATTCATACAGAAAAAAAGATGATAATTATAATCATTAACTACACGAATTGGTTCTCCTTGTTACCCTCAATTAGCTAAAAAGAATTCTTTAGACTGATTAGTTTCTGTTTCATTTTGTTCTATGAAAAGCTTTTCTCAAAAAAAAAAGGTCACTTGAATGGTAAATAAATAATTAGGGCTAAAAATAGACGTTTTGAAGAATAATATATAAAATCTGAATAATTACTCATTATTTTACATGTGTGTGTGCCGACTTGTATGAATGATAAATAAAATAGATAAATAAATTCTGAGAATTAATTTAAACTAGAGAATGATATATGCCGACAAAAATTATACATGGTGAGTGTCTTTCTGTCTCTACCAAACTCAAAACTCAAAGGTTAGCCACTACTCCATCCCTGTTGACCTTTGAACTTTGACCCAGACATACACATACGCATTGAACATTGCATATATAGCTTTACTCTTAAAACTCGTTGTTGACCCGAATGATTATTATATTGGTTAATAACTCAAAAAGCTCTACAAATTGACAACACTAAAATTTAAAAAAACGATTGAACAGTTCCATGTATTCCCTTGCAAGGTATGAGTTTCTCAGCATGAAGTAGCATAGGACAGAGCAAGGATAAAAAACAGTTCATAAGATGGGGCTAAGACAGTAAACTTCATACTTTGGTAGGACTCTAAATAACATACAATCTTTTAGAAAAGCATGAATGAAATTTTGTTGCACGAGGTGGCAGATTTGGACCCTTATCCAGCTGGGTCCTTTCATACCTTGGTAAACCTTTAGCCTTTTTCTTCGCACGTGTTTTTTTTCATTTCAAGATAAAGCGGCTGCATCTTTTAAATGAGATCTAACGGCAATAATTGTGACCATTAATAACTTTCAAAATATAATTAATTTTGACAGCATTATTTGATTTTTTATGAAAAAAATAAATCCACCCCCACAGGATTAAGGAACTACAGAGCGTAGGTGTGGGTGTAATTGAAAACTCCTATCCACACCCAATAAACTTCACGATTGACGAGCTTTTGTTCGGTATAAAATTCATTAGTTTCTCTATTTAAAAGGACCGTGATATCTTTTGACCAAATATAATTTCCAACCTAGTATTACTTTTGATTTTTGATGAGAGAAGAAGGAAAGTTATTCTATTCTTTTTTTCGACTGCAGACACAAGATTATTTTAAATACCTTTAGCATGTTCTATTCAGTAGCACTGAAACATGGAAATTAAGTTTTTCAGAAAGATTAGTCAATCAAGTGCCAAAAGCTATTGAAAAGTTTAGGTTTCAATGCATTGAAGTATACAATTTCGAGCATATTTGAACATTTTTTCTATTTACGAATAGGAACATCGATGGGTTTTCTTCGACTCAATGAAACTAGACTGGCCTGTAACTGTTTGATTGAAATATTTACATTCACCTAGAAAAACAGCAAAACATCAGTTTGTTTAAAATATCAATTAACGAATAAGTTCTTTTGCGACAGAGACTAATATCCATGTACTGAAGACCTCAAAACTTATGATATGAATTTCTGTGCTATAGATCATTATGTCATTCATATCGTCTTTCGAAAGAAAGTTAGCCTACTTGTATTAATAATATTGAAGAATTCAAGCTCTGGAACATCATTTGAGGAAAATGCTCAAAATTGAAATTTCAAGATTGAAGCGTTCTTGTGAAAAACAGAGTTGAAAAATAAAGTAGTAATAATTATTAAGAAGATCAAAACGTACTGATTCGACATTAATCGAATAAATATTGAATGTCTATTAGTTCAAAATCATAGTTTCTACAATAATAAATAGAATCACCGGTAAGATACTTACAGAAAGGCACAATCCGCGATGAACATTCATTCTTTTAGTAAGAATTCAGATTAGACACTTTTATTTAGAATTAAACCTGTCATGAAAAAACAACCGGTTTTTTGGATGCTACTTTTTGGAAAAATTAAAAAGTCAAATATAGATTTCTTGTTTATTTGAGTATCAGAAATATTGGTAGTTATCGACAATTGAAAATTGTAGTTAAGTTTGATAAAGCCGTTGATTTAGATGGTTACACCATAAATGTTCGCCAATATGGTTCTTCAAACGCAGATTGATTGAGCCAAACTGTCATTGTATTATCTGTAGCTTGAAACAAAAATTTAGTTTTTCGTCGTAAATCATATTTCCTTCTTTTTCTTTCGTAGTCATCAAAATCAAAATGGTAATTGTTTTCAGTGTGGAAAGTAAGACTTCGAAGATGTATTAAATATTTCTTCAATAATGGAATGCTCCGTAAGCTGGATGTATCTATTTTGACATGTTCCATGTAAGGAAAGCATTTGGCAATAATAATAATATTTTCTTCCCTGAATTTATGCTCATAAATAGATATGTTAAGTTCTTTTACATGATTCATATTCCCCCTGAAAATATCTATATTGGCTAAAAGAAGATCTAAGTTCATATCAAGTGAATTCATATTTGTGACACATTTCAGTAGTCTATCCAATTCGATAGTCATTTTTGGCGAGCATCCAATAGTGACTTGCCTAATATTGGAAAAATTTACATGTGATCGCAGCCATCTGAATAGAGTACTATCCATGTTATTCACAATAAGACACTTTACATTGTCAAAGTAGTAAGGGCATGATATTAGATTGTTTATATCATGAAGTTTCACACTGATGCTTTTATTAACTATCATAAGATCATTATTAATAGTGCGATTGGGTGCCGTTCAACACCGAATCACAGGACAATCGAATTCATGTCGAATATGAGATGTTGTTTCATCTATGCCGAAATCATCAGAGTCCCAGTGTTCATGTTCGGTTATCATTAGATTAAAATTTTGTTTTGATACCCAATATGAGTTTTGAAATGACGAGAGCACATTATCGAGTCCAATTCTTTTGACACGAGATAAAGCTGTTCGAAGAATAAAATGAGTTAGTAATGGCAACGATGTTTCCAACAGCAACTTCCATCCATTTGCATCAAGAAGTTCACTGTGTGCTTTGATCTCAAGATATTTTAAAGCAAGCATAGAATTCAAGTATTCTGTTAACATATCCATCGTTACTAAACTGTTGTCAGCAAAATATAAAATAAGTTTACGAAGTGTCGACATTAAGGGAATGATTATTTTTGAATGCTTTCCTTTTTCACCATAAAAAGCCATTCTCCTACCGACTATTTCAACATCAAGATATTTAAGACGGGGAGTACATTGGAAAATATACTGTAGATCTTGAAATCTACAATGTATACCAGAAATAGTCAAATGTTCAATATTTGACGACATATTTCCTAAATCATTCCAGTTCATATTATCGAGGTCGCTCAAGAGAGAAAAACTTTTTAACGAGTTTAAGCCAAATAGACGGGCAATAGTGGTTCCCAATACGAATCTATTTTCTTTGATACTTGCCTTGATTGATAAAGTATCAACTTTCGTTTTTAATAAGGAATGCAGAGCATCTTGAATAATATTCCAATCAAGAGCTTGATCATTAAAATGAAAATAAAGTTTTCGAAGTTGTTGAAATAATGCAAATGATCGAAAAAAAGACAGAAAAGCATAAACTTGACCAGGTGTGTTCTGTTCTGAAATAGCTAATTCTTCTATTTTGTTGATATAAGCCGGTAAAAGTCCCATACAAAAACGAAAGTCATCTTGATAGCATTGAATAAAATCAAAACGAAGTCGTTGAGATTGAATAATAAGTGAATCAAATCGTTGATTGAGTTGAAAGCTAAAAGCTCTTAGTAGATCAACACCATTCACATATTTCTCAATAATATCAGTTAATATTTCATTCGGAAGTGATTCAAATTTAGAGGGCGACATCTCTATGAAACAAAATAGGAAGAGTCGACGAATAATAATAGTACGCTGTTGAAACGGCGTCTTGTCACTTTAGTATTTTTTTTTCAAAAAAAACCAAAAAGTTGTAAGAACAACAAAACGACATTTTGTTGTAGTGATGATTAATATTTCAATGATGTTGGTTCTCTTTCTTTTTTGTGAAAGAGTGCACCGTAGTTTGCTTTTCTTTCTAAACCAATCAACATTTTATAACTATCAACAAACGATGAAGAATATGTCTGCGTTAGTCATTCTAATGTTTGCATGTCTATATATTTGTCAGGGTGTGGGTGTGGGTGTGTACAGAGTAAAGGGAAGAGCCACACTCACACCCATCGACAGCCCACCCACACCCACACCCACACCCCACACCCTCACACCACTCACATCCACACTCTCCCACACCCACACTCCATCGATTTGCAGCACGTGGAAGCATTAGCATAAGGTCAATATTTAGCAATTTTTTAAAAATTCACAACGTGAAAATTCATTATTACTATGTCTTAGTCAAAAATGCAGTCGAATTTTACTGTTAGTTTCAATCGGTGGACAATAAATTTTGATCAGAAAATTCTGAAATTAAGGTGAATTATGAAACAAGCTTGAATAATTCTACTATAATTATTGAATAAAAATAAAGAATATTTTGAAACCGGATTTTGAAGAAGTTTCACATGATCAAGACTATAGACTTCTCTTTCAAAACTTTTATTATGATAGGTTTGACTCTTTTGAAACACTCAAAATGATCCTTTCAATATATTTGTTTTAGTCGAGTAATTAGAATGTGTTAGAGGAGTCGGTAGTATTATTTCGATAGGTGATTTCTCTCAGAGTACTCGAAACTTTGATGAGTAGTAAGGTGTCGAAATATATACGACGAGCCGAAAATGGGTCATCGATAGGGTGTGGGTGTGGATGTATGGTAGAAGAATATACGCATATCCACACAACCCACTTCCACACCCGCACCCCCTAGAATATCCGAATAGCTCTGCTCTAAATATTTTTGAGTTTGCGGTGTTTTTTATGTAAATCTAGACAAGCCGAAAATTAGTTCTGGCTGACTTTTCATTAAAGCAATATTAGATCCGACAAGTTCGAATTTCGTAGTTTTAAAAGTTGATGATTTGAACGTCCAAAAGAAATAAATAAGGGTGGCGAACATTTCGCACTAAGTCATTCCGAACTCCTGTCATGTATCGGTGTGTTCGGAAATGATTTGTGTCCTTGACAACTTTCATTACGAACACCCTATTTCTTTTATTCTCGAATGATTTTGTCATTCCGAACATCCTGTCTTTTTTCCTTATGTTCGGAAATCGTAACGAACTCCGACACCAAGAGATCGTAAAGACAAGGTGGTGCAAAATGTTCCTTTCCCATAATTAAAAGTAAATATTGAAGAATGGCTTGTATACTTGGTCGACCCACAAAGTATCTCTCACTACGAATACGTGTGTAGCAAGATAAATTGAGGAGAAAATGCATTTATTGTTGAATTGTTGGATTTAATTTATGTTTATTGCATCAAAAAAATGATAAAAGTACTTATTGATAAAAGAAGGAGTATTGGTACATTTGTGGTGCTAGAGGAAACTGAGTTCATTTTTATTTTGTACATACGAAATGGTTTTTCGACTCGATTTGTACCGTTGTTGGAACTCGGTAAGCGATTAATTTGTGACATTGGGATATACAAAAATCCGTCTGCACTTACATCTGATGCATCACCCCAGTTGATTCTTTCATCATGTATAAGTAGTGTCCACGATCCATCAACGGAATTCTGTTGCCAAACAGTTTGTCGTTCTATATCCATCAGGTAAATATTACCTGCATCATCCATTGTTGTTCCACCGGTGGGCATCGCTTTCCAACTAGTGAAAACCTTATTCCCAAGTTCAGATTCGGTCATTGTTTCATTTGTCAAATCATCGGTAGATACTTGAAACCAATTATAACCGAATGGTGGTTTATAGAACAGAGTTTTCTCGTCAGGTGTTAGTTCGAGATGATTGTTGTGCATTTTTTTCGGTTGGCCCTTTTCATCTAGGATCGCTCGTCCTTCCATGCGGACGACAGTTGGATCAACAAATTTAGTTGATGGATGATTGTCTAGAACACGGCGCACTTGACCAGTTTGTAAATTAATAATAACTACTGAGCCGAGTCCGGATTCGGTCAGAAAAGCATAATGAGAACCGATTCTCACATCATTCAGAGCAAATCCTTCCGGCGGGTTGAGACTTGAAACTGAATAAATTCTTTCGACTGTATTGTTTTGAAGATTGATCTTGACAAGTTTTGCAGCGTTCACGGTCGTTTTATTGCCAATCATGCCGCTATCAACAACCCAGAGATTGTTGTGCGAATCAGTGAGAACAGCATTTACATTAACGAAACGATTTTCCATGTTCTCTGATGATGTTGTTGGATTGAACGTGTTCCATTCGCCACCAGGAAATGCTGAAAGAACGTTATTGGGCAATATCTCAGCAACGGAAGGGGTCACATCGCCAAGTAAACGAGGAAATGAAGCAAACATTCGGTTATTTTTTGTTAGAGCAATACCGTTCCATTGATAGTCAGGCGATTGAGCAACTTCGATGAGACGATCATCAGCGACAATGTTCATACAAATAAAGCAGCAGATTAGTAGGTTTGTTAACATGGTTTTGTTTAGTCGACTCTGAAAAATCCCAATGCAGTTGATATCATTTCTAACATAATCTTAAATGATTTAATTTACTTTTCAAATCTAACAGTCAATACTCTATCCCAGGTCCAACAGATATGCACTTAAACGATCATAAATGAAGAGATGCAGAGATGAATGGAGACGATATAAAAATGTGGGCTGTCCAAGGAGCAGAATCTTGACTATATAGACGCAGTTGCATGTCGGTCAGATACGTTTTTCATAGATTCAAAAGTTGTTAAAGAGTTCTCTGCTGCCCATTTGCAACGAAAATACACGCGTATAAAGGTAGAAAGTATGTAGAGGTATGACAGTGCGGAAGTATAGGATTATAGAATGATAGGAATACCGGGATACAAATGTGCAGACGTACGCACAAAACTGATTCTATAGAAGCATATATTATCGAAAAATGATCATTTACGAACAAAAATTCTTCGCTTACGATTACCGTACTTCTCCATAGACGATTACAAAGGTGTAAAGGGTGCGTATAAAAATATTCTTCTGGGGGAGTAAAGCTATAATTTCAAATACGGTAAGTAATAAATTTTATTGCAAATGAAAGCTCGTGGAATAAAATGGGATTTTTTGGTACAACTTGAGAAACTTTCGGAAATTTTATACTTTTTTGATGTAAAAAATTAAAGCGTTAGTAATTCAAAAAATTAATTAAAGACTTTCTTGGATATTTTTATACGATTTGATAGAGTCCATCAAGCTGTACAAAACTGTATATATCAAAAAAAATTTTTCTGAGTCATTTTTCTGAGATGAAAACCTCAAAAGACGACTTAGGAAATTTTTAATATATACAGTTTTGTAGAACTCGACGGGCTCTATCGAATCATATAAAAATATTCAAAACAAAAGTCTTTACTCCATTTTTGAATTACTCACGCTTTCATTTTCTACAGCAAAAAGGTATAAAATTTCTGAAATTTTCTTAAATTTGATAGTAAAAAACTTTGTTAATATTTACCATTCAGTAACAATAAATCTCGTTTTCGACGAACTTTCATTTGAAATAAAGTTTATTACTTACTGTATTTGAAATTATAGCGTTACACCTCTGGTAGAATATTATCATGTATTCTGTATAACGATAACAGCAGCATGTAACGACAAAAGATAGTCGTATACGTATCGTGTACGGCCTTCACTAGAAATAGAAAAGTATGTCATGTGCGTGGCGCAGTGTATATTGAAATACAAATTGTTTTCGTTTTTTCTTCCTTTCTCTCCAGTAACATAATGTCACATTACACAGGTGTAAGGTCTTATATCTTCATTCGCACACAAGATAAACTTACTAAAATATCGGATTTTTTCTCCAAACTTTGCATAGAATGTTATATTATTTTTACTATGTGCTATCTTGAAGATGAGGGTGCCACGGAAATCTTTATCATACATACATCAGCACATATCTCTCTATTGAGGGTGCTCGAAAATTGTGATTTCACATGAAAAACAAATTTCTTACTGAATGAACTTGATTGAATGTGGATGAAAATCTTTGAAATCTTCATTTTTCTTCAGGACATAATACTCCAGAGCCTTTAAAGCGTGTGGTCTACTTAATGTTTTGTCCAAAAAGTGGAAACGTTGATACGTAATTTAGACCAAAATTTTGAAAATTTCAAAAATATTTGATCAAAAACTCGAAGTTCTTGGCGCTTAATATGCTATCTTTAAAAAATTTCTTCCCGGATCGTGAAATAGTTTGAAAATAGATTTTAACATTAGGAAAGGGTGTAGATGTGGGTGTGGGTAAGGATGAGAAGTACACCCACACTTACCCATACGCATACCCCACCCACCCCCCACACCCACCCACACCCCACACCCACACCCACACCCCACACCCACACCCACCCACACCCACCCACACTCACACCCACACCCCACACCCTTCAGAATAATGATAATAGTAATATATCTATCTTGGTTAAGATAAACTACATTTACATGTTGCAAACAATTCTTCATATAGCTTATGTTCTCCTATTTGCAATGATCCAATCGCATTTCGCAGTATACCGATTCTCTTTATTAATTATTCATTTTACAGAACACTTGCAAATGACTTATAAAAATAATATACACAACAAAAACATTAATAAAACGGAAGAAATCTCAAATAAAATATTTATCTCAGTATTAGCCAGTCAAGTTGCAGTCTAATGACTGTATTTAAATTTTCACTATTAAATATTGGATGTGGATGTACGTATGAGCGTGCTATTATCATATTGCAAACAACACCTACACTCTATAACTTCAAGATAAATCACAAAAAACGATAATAAATGTTTTTTTCAGAAAATATATTTGATGCTTTTGAGCAGTCTTGATTTATTAATCTCTGTATGAATTCATTTACTATTAGTCTATCAAAAGGTATCCATTTGTGAAATGATCCTGTACGGACTTCACCATTAAAAAGCTATTGTGTATTTTGTAAAAGCTTTAAAAACACACAGCAGAGGAATATTTTTCTACGAAGAAAAATTATTTCTCCTCTGAATAATCTGGCTGCGTAAACTATTTCGTTCTCTTAGAGTGAACTCAGTCATTACTTACGTGGGAACAACGAAAACATGCAGAGTAAATAAATTGAAAAGAAAATAATTCAAAAAATATGAATTCAGTGGTCTTTTTTTTGGCTGTCTTAAAAATCAACAATTTTTTTAAAAGTTAACGATATACATAACTATTGATAGACATGGGTGCCGCACCAGCAGTACAAGGGAAGCAATAAAGATTTATTGTTTCCCCAAGTTGTTCGTGCTTCTTTGGTAAACTAGAGTAAAAATACATAAGTCAACATAGATTCTATACGATTTCAGATTAAAATAGGAGGATTGATCCATCGACCATTATCTTATGCATTTTTTATGACTATCTTGATGAATACATTCACGATTGTATACATCTGACATGTTTCACTCAAGTAAAAAATAAACACATTTCTTTACTATTTTCAAGATCTCATTTTGAAGTAAGCTATGTCTAAAATTCATCAGACGAACAAAATCACTGACGCAATTAAGAAGAATCAAAACGTATCTTCGAAATACAACTGGCCAAGAACGATTATCATCTTTAGCATTAATAAATATAGAAAAAGACTTTCAAATTGATATTGATGCTATTGCAACAGATTTTGTATCGAAAAAAGATGAAAGTAAAAGAATACTTTGAAAATAAAGATAGCTTATGGACGAGAATGGATTTGTTACTGTCAATAATACTCATTTACAAATGTTTAGTGGCGCTCGAAGAGTAAAAATAGAAAATGTTTATGAGTGAAATAAATTCATCGGATGTCATTGAGTTTTGTAATTGAATAATGCTATTATTTATAATACCATATGAAGTACTAATTTCCCACATATTATTTCGAAAAATGTGTCGAGATAAATTCTACTCTGAACATACCCAGGCAGTCAAGATCGGAAAAAAACGCGTTTAAACGCATTATTTTAACGTTTTTTTTCACTTGAAAACGCTTCGAAAAACGGTAAAAGCGCACATTCTAACATGTATAAACGCGATATTTTGTCTTTTAAGTGAAAAAAACGCGTTTATATGCGTTGCTCAAGCGTTTAAAAGTCGTTTTTTGCTGGAAAACGCGTTACAAAACGTTAAAAGCGCACATTTCAACGCGTAAAAACGAGTTTTTTCTCTATTGTTGACTGACTGGGTAACGAATCATTGCATGCATATTATTTTTTTCTATTTTCTGAACTTCTGATCATCAGCTAACGCAAGTTTTTATTACTATACTTCGATCCTTAGTTGCTAACAAAAAGAGTCTACTCATAAAGAAGATAAACTAGCTGTTAACGTTAATAGCTGAATAAACAATCTGGATAATAAGACCACCACATTTTTAATTGTTTCTTACGTCCATAATTTCTTTGAAACGAAAGAGATATAAACGTTTCAAACAACTCTTACATTAGCATTACATGGAAAACCGAAGTATCAGTGAGCAGTAGGTGCTGGCAACAAGCTAAATTGTTGCTAATTAATTTTGAGTAGATCTTGTTTAAAAAAAGCGGTATACTACTCTGTAGCTCTTAATCTATTTTCAGTGACAGACGATTTAATACTCAACTCTCCAATATTATATTATGTTATTATGCCTCTCAGAAATCACGCATTAGAAAATGTATAATACCGAACTGTTCGCTATGAATGCGTGTGTATGTGTGCTGGGGGGGGGGGGGGGGGTAGTTTCATTTTAGAGTTTACTGCTTCCCCTAAAAAATCAAAGCTGCGTCGACCATGATATTTTTTAACAACGAAAGTAAAACGAGTTCAACACAATGCTATCCAATCGAATATTGAAAATTAAATGTCTTTCACAGAATCAGGATGATTCTACTATGTTTTTAACATTTTAATTTTATATTGAATCTGCAAGTTGATTGTTTTTCTCACAATAATACAACAGAGCTATGATTAGAATATCAGAATTAGACGAATGAAAACATAAGTAGCATGAAAAATAGTTTATTTATGTTCTTTTTTCAAGCAATACAACATTTTATAGTTTTAAAAATGTCCTGTGCAAGTGAATACTTGACTACTACTTGCGGTTGTTGTAGTAACTGAATATGTATCACTACTGACAGTTTGATTTATACCTGTCAATTGAAACTGTGCTTCAATATAATATGGAAATCCGCTTCGTTGAATAATTTGTCCAGGAATAATTGTCCACGTATAGATAATTTGTGAAGTCGTATTGATTTGTGTTTGTAATACAGTATTTGACCAGAAATTATTGGATTGAGAAGAGAAAGTAGCACCCACACTCCGTTGGACAATGATTT